ACGCCCCCCTCCCCATTCCCCGTGTAGTCGTCCCCCCTCGCCCTCTCGGCGCCACGCCCCCCTCGGCCCTCGCCACTTCCCGTGTCATCCTCCGCTCCCCCAACCTCTCACCCCCTCCTCAGCGCCCCCGCCTCTCCTCGCTCCTAGTGCTGTCCCCCGTCCCCAAGCTCCCCTTGCCCCCACGTCACACGCCCTTGGCCCCAAGTCCCCCGCCCCACCTCACTCCCCGTGTCATCGCCCACTCCCCACGCCCCGGTCCCGCCTCCACCTTCACAGCCCGAGCTCTATCCGGATCCACGAGGAGCGCGCTCGGCCGGCCTCGGACCCTCGCGGGTGGGGGGCCGGGGTCCGCAAGCGCAGGTAACCGCTGGCCCTGCAGGGACAGGCGGAGCCGCCCACTGCGGCCCGGGGGTGGTGCAAAGGGGCCGGGCCCACTCTCGAGCGAGGCTGGGGAGCCCCGGCGGCTCAGGCCAGGGCAGTAACAGACCGCGGGCGGGCGGGGCCAGAACCGGAAGAGGCGGAGCACTCCTGTGTCTGGCCCTGTCCTAATATGGAGCCAGAACGGCGAGCTGGGCTGTACCTTCTCGCGGAGAGAGGGGGAGACAGGCGGAGGATGCAGGGATGACAGGGAATGACAGGCACCGCAGGAACTCCCGCAATCGTTTCAGGCCTTGAAGAAGTGTTCATGGCCATGGAGAGAAGGGGTACCTGCAAGCTGCAGGGGCAGAAGAGAACATCTGTCGTTGCTTCGTTCCAGCCACCCCTGCCCCCGGAGCAACAGTGGTAGCGCCCAGGCCCAACTCCCGGAAGAGACGGCGCCCCGGAGCCAGTGCACTCCTGCACTTCCGCTTTCCGGCCTAGCTAGCCCCAGCAATGGTAAGAGCCGGGGGGCGTCCGCTGAGGGATCTCGAGGGGGGAAAGGCAGAGAGGCAGCCCCGCGGCGGGGAGGGAGCTGAGGCCTCTCAGAGCTGAGGAGGCTCAGGGGCCGGTGGGAGAGCCGGAGCAGCTCCACTGGGGAGGAGCCCGGGAGGGCTGAGGGGGCACCGAGGGCTGGGGGAGCTGCAGGGGCAAAGGCGCGGAGGGCGGATGAGGGGCTTGGCAGAAGGGCGCAGAGAGGATGAGGGAGCGTGCTAGGGGGTCGGAAGAAGGAAAGGATTGAAAACCTGGGGGAGGGAGGGGAGAATGAGGAGGGGGGAAGCAGAAGCTGGGGGGATGCACGGATGGATGAGTGGAGAGGCAAATGCGCGGAGGTCGGATGATAGGGGAGACCCGAAGACTGAGAGGGATGGAGCAGGGCCAGGGAGGGGCAGCAAGAACATAGAGTAAAGAAGGGGAAGTGGGCAGGGGTGAGGGAGGGGGTGCAGGAAAGGCAGGATTCAGAGATGAGGGACTGAGATTTGGGTCCCAGCCCTGCACTTGACAAAGGCTGAGTGACCTTGACCGAGTCATTTACTTCTGCCTTAATTTCCTAATTTGGCGGTGATGCCTGTGCCCCCCACCTCTAGAGTAGAATTGAAAGTACTTGACAAGTGTGTAGGGGCATGTGAAGTGACATATTATGGAGAAATGGTAGGATGCTATGGTGATCCAAAGAGAGGCATTTTTCGGGGAGGAGTTGAGGGGTAGGGCATGAAGAGCACAGGTTATGGAGCTCAAAGTAGACCCACCATCCAGTCTGCAAGCAGATTGACGCCTCTCCATCTCTGGTCACCTGGGTGAGATAGCTGTCACGCCTGTTCAGGTCAGCCAATGGTACTGTCTGGTTCCTATTAAGATGCCTAACTGAAAAAAAAATCCACGTTCCTTGGAGTAGGAGGGGTATCCAGTCCTGATTCCTTATGGTTTGTTTTGTTTTGTTTTTCTGCAGACTGCCACTCTCCGCCCCTACCTTAGTGCCGTGCGGGCCACGCTGCAGGCTGCACTTTGCCTGGAGAATTTCTCCTCCCAAGTTGTGGAGAGGCACAACAAGCCAGAGGTAGAAGTCAGGTAGGAAAGAAGTGGAGCATGAGGGGCCTTGCTTAATGACACTGATGGGCAGCACCAGTACCAAGGTTTCAATGAAAATTGCAGAGCCGTGTCTGCAGCACTACCTTCCCACGAGGTGGGACATCCAAGAATGGTGCATATGGGTGAAGAATCCCATGGGTAATTTCAGGCATTTTACAAATCTCTGAATTATCACTTCCTCTTTTTCCTTACCGTAAGGACTGAGGGAGGGTATAGTGAGGGACATGAGCTGAAAGAAATTTTGGTGGTAAGTGCAAAAATCATTCTGGATCAATGATTAAAGGGTTTGGGCTCATGTTAATTAGCCCGTGTCCCTGAATCTACTTGTGTAGCTTTTTGGTTCCTATTTTGAAGCATCAGTCCAGTCAGCTAGACTGTGTCCATCACCTTGTGCTTTATCTTAGTTGGTGATTGTAGGGCCTTTTGTGGGATCTTCTAGACTATGCGTCCATCCGATGACCGTGGAATCTTTGACATTGCATTTATAGGAGTAGCAAAGAACTCCTGTTACAACCTGTGACCATCAGCAGGAATGAGAAGGAAAAGGTTCTGATCGAGGGTTCTATCAACTCTGTTAGAGTCAGCATTGCAGTGAAACAGGTAAGTTTTAACACTTGAGGACTGCTTAAAACTGGAGACTGGATGTTAGAAATTTGGTATATTAGGCTGAGGACATAGGGCCCTGAGATCTAAGAGATTGTTGAGAAAAAAGCTTAATGAAATGAAACAGATTGATATTTTCTGGGACCTCAACTGCTTTAGGACGGTGATCAGTGTAGAGACAAAGTAGATTCTATTATGAAATGTGTAGCAAGTTGAATCTTTTCAAGTTGTTACTTGTTGCCGGCTGCAGTGGACAGAGACCCATTAGTAGAGTCAGAGCTGCATGTAAGCCTGTCCTGCCTCTCAGGAGCCTTGTGGACTTGGGCACGCCACAGACAAAGGTTATGTTTCTGTAAGCCTCAGTTTCCCCATGCATAAAATGAAGATAATACACTACCTACTTTGCAGGGTTCTTTTGAGGAACAAATGAAATCGTTGAACATAGTTTATAGACATAAAATAGTGTGCAAATATATGTCGATGTCTAACAGTAACACAAATTCAGACATATTTTGGCAACGTGGTACAAAACTGACAATACTGAGCCAGTTCTCCTTCCTCTTTTCTGGGTCTAGGCCTTTTGATTTGGTGGAATGAGAGAGGAGTACTAAAGGCTCATCTTCTGAGTTCAAATCTGCCCTTAGACACTTTCTAGCTGTGTGACCATGGGCAAGTCACTTAACCCTGTTTGCCTCAGTTTCCTCCTCTGTAAAATGAGCTGGAGAAAGAAATGGCAAACCACTCCAATATTTTTTGCCAAGGAAATCCCAAAGGGAGTTACAAAGTGTCAGACGTGACTGAAATGACTGAACAATAAAAACTATATACATACTTCATCTGGAGAAAGGGAGTAGAACTAGTTCCCAGGAGTGAAAATAGGTCACGTTAATTAACTTTTATTGCATCACAGACCCCTTGGGTAGTCTAGTGAAGCTCATGGACCCCTTCTCAGAATATTTTTTTAAAATACTGAGGATTACAGCAGAAACCAATGATACCAAAATACAGATGTGAAAAAAAAAGTTCGCAGACCCCATGCTAGGAACCCCTATGTTCATTGGGGAGGACCTTCCCTAATATGCTTAACTGTCCTAATTCTTGAAGATTATTTTCTTTCCTTTTGGTTTCCAGAAACTTGGGTTAAGGGACATTGTAAGGCAACAGTCTCAGAATGGACAGCCTCTGCGTGGTAGCCCTGTGGAGACATAGTTGGGTTCGAGGGATTGAGGATCAGGCCATTGTGCTATTCATATTCTATCGTGCTGGCTTTGTGGACACCTGGGTTTTTTATTGGTCTCTGCAGGCTGATGAGATTGAGAAGATCCTTTGCCACAAATTCATGCGCTTCATGATGATGAGAGCAGAGAACTTCTTCATCTTGCGTAGGAAGCCTGTGGAGGTGAGCTAGAGAGCTAGATCTGAAGCACTTAACCAGGGAGAGTAGCTGTCCTGGGTTCAGAACTTTGGTAGGTTAATAACTGCTGTTAATAACTGTGTAGACAGGACCTTATGACCTTCCTGACTCAAAATGTGTTTCTCTTTTTTTTTTTATTTGCTCATTTGTCCACCTGTCTCCATGACACATGAGAATTCCCAGTGGGATAGGAACAGTGTCTGAGACAGCATTTCATACATTCCAAGATTGTTCCTGGATCGATGATTGTCCCTGATACCTCCATCTTGGCTAGCTCAAGACCAGAGATCACCATCTTAAAATCTTCCTCCAGGCAGTAGTCAGTGAATTTTCTTTCTTTGGCTGGGAAGGAAGGGCATCAGAGGCTTAGGAGAAGCCATTCTCTCAACTTAAGGACTGTGGGTAATACAAAAAAGCATAAGACAATGGTTCCACTCTGAAGAGTGTCTAATCTAGTTGGGGAAGTATAATAGTTTTTATTTGTGTTTCATGTACTATCAGAGGTTCCCAAACTTATTTGGCTTACTGCCCCCTTCAAAAAAAATTACTTGGCCCCGGGGTGAGATTAGGTTAGGTTAACCCTTATTTTTATTCAACACCCTCTAATTGCACCTGAGGGCTGCTACTGCCCCCCACTCCCACCTCCATCCCCCATTGTTCCAGCGCCCCCCTGGGGTGGGTGGTATCACCTACTTTGGG